AGAAGGGGGTGGGGGCTCCAGGCGCAGCACCTGCGGCCGCAGCAGCCTTCTCCTTCTTGTGTTTCTTGTGTTTCTTGTGCTTCTTCTCCTTCTTGTGTTTCTTGTCCTTCTTTTTCTTTTTCTTCTTCCCACCCCCTTCTTGATCCGAATTCTAGAAACCCAGAAAGTAACAGCAATACTTCAATCACTACAGTTCTGTCCACCTCACCTAGTTAGATCTCCAAAAAAATAACTAAAACGGATCAATCTCAAGAGTTCCTAAGGGTCCGGGGAGAAAGGCCCAAGGCCAACCGCCAAGAGAAGGAGTCCTAGAGATGGGAGCCACCCGAAAAGCAGAGATTTTCTCATGGATTTTAAGAGTCAGAATGAACTGCGAAGGTAACTGATTTTTACAATTTTACCCAACTACCTTCACATGAAACCAGGTTTTGCGACCACAAGCCGAGTCAGGGTCAAGCTCCAGATGGAAGGAGAGGTGGCACGAGCAAGAGAGAGAGGAGTCTCAGAGCGCAGACAGGCCTAAGCTGAATTCTGGTTCCTGAATCTGCTCAAACGGGCTGAACTTTTGGTTGACCTTAAACTGTACAATAATCCTTGAAAGCTGCTGTGATGATTAAATGCGTGTACCTGTAAATCACGCATGATACTAGCCTAACGTGCAGGCTTTGATCCAGCTCTTATTCTAAATATGCCAGCATTCTTATTGCCACCGGACCCCTCCTACCACGGCATATATGCCAAATGTAGGCAAAGGGCAGGCTCTGCTATAATTGAATTGAGCCTGTAATTCTTTTTTTTCTTTTTTTTTAAATATATCTTTATTGATTTCAGAGAGAGGAAAGGAGAGGGAGACAGAGAGATAGAAACATCAATGATGAGAGAGTCATTGATCGGCTGCAGCCCGCAACCCGGGCATGTGCCCTGACCGGGAATCGAACCCTGATCGCCTGGATCCTAGGTCGACGCTTAACCGCTGAGCCACGCCCGGCCAGGCGAGCCTGTAATTCTTAAAGTTCACATTTCTAAGCTATTACTTAAAATTCCCCAATCTATCCAGTTAGTTTGCACAATTCAGTCAACCCTATTTAGATGGACATTTAACCACTAATTTTATACAACACTGAATGAAACCTGTCCAAGATCAGATTAATGACTCACAAGAGAAAAAAAGATTCAAGTCCCATTATTTCAGTACTCTAATAATTAAACTTGACAATGTGAAAACTGCCAAAGACTATACAAAACAATAAAGTACTTTTCATTCCATCTAAGATTTCACAGGTTGCAAGGTTCATTTTTTACTATAGAAATAATGTACAGCTGACGCTTGAACAATGCAGGGATAAAGGGTGCTAACCCCTGTGAAGTCAAAAATCCACAAATAGCCCTGGCCAGATGGCTTAGTTGGTTGGAGCACTGTCCTGTACATCAAAAGGTTGTGGGCTCGATCCCTGGTCGGGATGTATAAGGAGGCAACCAATCAATCTCTTTCTCTTTCAAAAAATTGATAAACAGCCCAGCTGGGTATGGGTCAGTGGTTGAGCTTTGACCTAGGATCCAGGAGATCGGGGTTCAATTCCCGGTCAGGGCACATGCCCAGGTTGTGGGCCCCATTCCCAGTGGGGGGCGTGCAGGAGGCAGCCATCAATGACTCATCATTGATGTTTCTCTCTCTCTCCTTTCCTCTCTCTGAAATCAATAAAGATATATTTTAAAAAAGAATTGATAAACATATCCTTGGAGTGAGGATTTAAAAAAAATCCACAAATAATTTTTGACGCCTCCCAAATTTAACTAGAGCTATCTCTAGATAACCATGAAGGATTGGTTCCAGAACACCAAGGATACCAAAATCTATGGATGTTCAAGTCCCGTAAAAAAAATTGAAAAGAGCAATGCTTCAGCCAGCCCTCCACATCCATGGATTCTAACTGTAGATCGAAACTGGGGGATATGGACAGTCAACTGTATATTTTTTGAAAATACACATATAAGTGGACGTGCACAGTTAAGGGTCAATTGTATTTCCCCTGTACAAAAACTAAAAGCATTAAAGTGCAAAGAATAAAAATTCAATCACTCATCATTTTCCTAACATACAACCCCACCACAACATTCTTGTGTCTTCTTTGTGATACTTTTCGTTTTATAAAAATATCATAATATAAACACAATCTAAGATAAAAAAATATCACTGATTTGTGTGACCTTAATTAGGTATCCCCAAATGTGTCAAACACTAGAGAAATCAGCAGAAATACTAAAGTATTTTCCCCCTAGATAATAGAACCATTGGCAATTTTTTTTGTTTTTCTAGATTTTCTATATAGTCCAATCTCAACCACCAAGATTCTGGAATTTACCAGTATCAGACACATCACAGGTCAGTGGGTGGCTAGACTATTAATGGACTGCCGATGCAATTACCACCACTTAATCTGTGCCTCCTTGAAGTCTATCTGAACCACAGAAAATAATGCTCTTCTGAGCTACAAAAGACAAAAAATGTCTTTGCTTCCAAGTGACCACATACAACTATAAAGGATGTCCAAAACAGGGCAGACACATACCCTCGCAGGTGATGGGCTTGGTGTTGGGCTTTTAGCCTTTTTGACCGGTACTGCTGGAGACCAGTTGGTAGAGGGTGACTGAGACTGGACAGGAGATGGAGGTGCTGGGGGTTTTTTAGCTGCTGGCTCAGGAGATCCTGAGACAGATCGGGAGGATGAGACTCTCCTTACAGACTGAGGGCTTGGTGAGGCAGGTCTAGACAAAAGGGAAAAAACCAAAACATTTATTATCCAAGAAGATAGATCTTTCCTAAGAGAAACTAACCAACTACCATTACAGAACTAGGTCACAAACTTTATTTTACAGAGCTTAGTTTGCTAGTTGAGTCTACTAATTCAAATTTGTATCATCAAAGTCTCCCGGAGAATAGTTCACACCTCACCAACTCTTTCCATATTGCTAAAAATGAACAATGCTAATTTTTCTGTACGAAATTAACAATGCCAATTCCTTGTATTTTATTTAAGACTGCTTTTATCAGTCTTACATAGACATGCAAGAAATATTCTATGCATCACTTCAGAGTTTAGTTTCAGCAGCACACCCTCAATATAGCTGATACTCCTAAGAACCAGGTATAATCCTATGGCATTTAGTTTATGCCATACAGAACTATTCTCAAAAAAGAAAAGGCTCTCTGAGTAGTAGTAAGAGTTTGCCTTAAAAGTTTATATTCACAGCTTATTCTTTCCTGTAATTTCTTAGTAAGGGGGGGGTGGAGATTTCAAGCATAAAGAGAACTATGCAAGTAAATGTTCCCAAACAAAGAGCATAAAATATTTTTACTTTTTTGTTTTTTTGGGTTCCGGAGTCCTGGAGACTCTCCTAATGGGCCTAGTACTTGGAGATGGGGACTGCCTTCTTTGGGGTGATGAGGATGCTCCTCTTCGCACGGGTGGAGGGCTTGAGGAGGTCTGAGGGGCTCGAGGCCGTGGTGAGGGCGAATGCCGTTTGTTTGGTTGTGGTGACCGGGCCTCCCGAGTAGATCGGCCGGGGGAAGACCCTTTCCTATGCTTTGATGACAATGAAGGTGAACGTCTCTTGGTGGCCGGGGAGCTTCTTTGTTTGGGAGGTGGGGAATGGGAAATACGACGCTTTGGTGGTGGAGATGGCGATGCCCTTCGTTTAGGGGGCGGCGGGGGAGAAGCCGTTCTTCTCTTCGGAGGTGGGGAAGGAGAGTATCTTCTCTGTATCGGAGGCGAGTATCTTCTTGGGGAAGGTGAGCGCCGCCGTGGAGGAGGAGAAGGAGTCCTAGGAAAACACATTATTAAGCTGGAGGGTTCGACAAGATAAATAGTATACAAAGAAAACTAACCATTAATTATGGCTACACAGGCACACCTCAGAGATATTGGGGATTTGGTTTCAGATCACCGTAGAACAGCAAACATTGCAATAAATCAAGTCAAATAAAATTATTGGTCTCCCAGTGCATGTAAAAGTTATGTTTATACCACACTGTAGTCTATTAAGTGTGCAATAGCAGAAGTCTTTAAAAAAAAAAAAAAAGAGTATGTACATTAACTTAAATATTTTATTGCTAAAAAACATTAACCATCATCTGAGCCATCTTTCTCCTGGTAGAGGATCTTGCCTTAGTGTTGATGAAAACGCAGTATTTGCAAAGAGCATTAAAACGAGGTATTTGCCTGTATTGTACTTGCTAGTTGTACAGGCCAAGGGAGTATATTTCTAAATAGAAATGCTCTACCTTTATCCTCATTTCAGTAAAGATATCACAATAAAATTCCTGTATATTGTATGACTACAAAACAGGACATTCTGGTTAATAGAGAAATTTGCAATTTTCCAAATGAATTCAAATATGTCATTAAACACAATCCATATGAAATCAATTTAATGCTTTTTGATAACAGAATTTTGTACTGCTTTGACTAAACTGAACATCCTTTATCATCATATAACTANCCAAATGAATTCAAATATGTCATTAAACACAATCCATATGAAATCAATTTAATGCTTTTTGATAACAGAATTTTGTACTGCTTTGACTAAACTGAACATCCTTTATCATCATATCTAGATCATTATGTTAGCAGGACTCTACTGACTATGGTCAACTTACTCGGGAAGGATGTGCATTAAAAGCTCTAAATTGGTGGACTCAACAAAGTTCAATGCACAAGCTTTAAAAAGTATCTCTACACCCTTCAAAGAGAGACTTGCATTTTCTGTCTCAAATGACCACTTTTCAATAGAAGTCCACTGCTAGGCAGAATGCATCCCTGCAAAAGTCCAACCTGACCTTCCTCTTACTGCTGAATTCCTACATAACCCTGACTTGCCTCCTTGGAATTAGACCTAAATATAATATTCAGGTCCAACAACCACTTGCTCTTGAATCATTCAGACCTTGAGCTCAAAATATTTTCCTGCCCATACAATGGGCAACATGGTAGAATGCAGTTCCATTTTTGCCCCTGAGCAATTTAAAAAAAATATATATATATCTTTATTGATTTCAGAGAGGAAGGGAGAGGGAAAGAGAGATAGAAACACCAATGATGAGAGTCATTGATCAGCTGCCTCCTGCATGTGCCCTGACCAGGAATCGAACCACGATCTCCTGGATCCTAGGCAGACGCTCAACCGCTGAGCCACGCCTGCCCGGGCGCCCCCGAGCAATTTTAATAACTCTGAACCTCTATTTCTTTACCTGAAAAATGGGAATACCACCTACCAAGCAAGATCACCTTGAAGACTGGAGATAAAGGACTTAAGCACCCAGCACTTTACCTGGTACATAACAGCTATTCAAGAGTGGTTAAACCCATTCTACTGCTTGGGAATGTATATGAGCAACGCCATTAGAACCCCCCCGCAACTTTTATTTTGAAATCATTTTAGCTTTACAGAAGAGCTGCAATAACAGTGGAGATTTGCCACTTAACATCTTATACAACCATAAAAAAACTATAAAAAGTGAAATTAACCTCAATATTAACTAAAGTACTAATACTATCCATTTCCACGTATGTCCTTTTTCTGTTCCAGGTTCCAAAAATCAGAATCCTACACTGTACTTAGTTGTCATGTGTCCCAAAAGTTTCTGCTAATTTATAACTGTTACTCTTTCTTGAATGTTTGACATTTTAAAAAAACTGCCGGTCAGTTCCTTTGTAGAATGACCTTCAAACTAGGTTTGTCTAATATCCCTAATAATTACCTTGAGATTCTGAACAATTGGTAAGGATACCACAGAGGTAGCTAGGAATTATGTGACACCAATATGTATTACTGGGGATGTTAACTTGGATTCCTTAGTTAGGACAGTGTCTGCTGGGAATTCTTCACTAAGTTAATACAGGTTGGGGCAAAAGTAGGCTTACAGTTGTGAGCATGCAAAAGTTTATTCTTGTATTACTTATTAATTATTGTATTATTTTCCATAGGAACAACTGTAAACCTACTTTTGCCCCACCTTATATTTTCCCCTTTCTAATCACTAGTGTTTCTACCTTTTAACATCTTTATTGGTATGTGATTCAGATACCATAAAATTCAACCATTTAAAGTGCACATTTCAATGGTTTTTAGTATATTTGAAGTGTGTATGTCCATTATCACTCCCCATTCCTACCTAGGTACCACTAACCCACTTTGAATCTATAGATTTGTGTGTTCTGGATTTTTCATATAAATGGAATTGTAATATGTGGTGTTTTATGAATGGCTGAGCTATGTCACTCTAATAAGATAATTCAATCACAAAGATTCAACGCTGCTCTAATTAAGATTAATTAAAGATCACATATGTATAGCCCATGGAAACAGACAATAATGTGATGAAGGCCTAGGGTAGGGCAGGGGCTGGGTGAAGTAGACAAAAGGGGGGGAAGTGGGGGACAGCTGTCAACAATAAAAAACATATTTAATCGTCTCCATAAATAAATAAACAGAGTTGCTCTATGAACCCCAACAAGCACATGTAATGAATTACCTTCGCCGTGGTGGTGGTGTGGGAGACCTACGCCGTCGAGGTGGAGGAGCAGGAGAGGGAGACCGTCGCCTTCTAGTGGGTGGTGGGGTGGGACTTCTCCTCCGTCGAGCACTACACCAAAGAAAAATTATAGGTGATTCTTAGTGGCACTTATAGTAACTGATCCAGATGACACTGTTTTAATCATTGTTAACCCAAAGTACAGCAACTGTTACTCTATCCCTCAGAGCTGTGTTTTTCAAAGTACAGGTCAAGACTATTAGTAAAGACCCTAGGTACGAACCAGCATTTTTTTTTTTTTTAAATAAAAAAACCGCACACAGACAATCAGAATGTTGCTAGCAGTAAAGGTGAGTATTCTTTTGTGAAATTTTTGTTGTTACAGTATACAAATATGTAGCCTGGGTCACGATCGATATAAAATATTCTTTACATGATGAAGGAAAGGTTTGAAAACAGTGCCTTAGAGTATTGCTTTGAAATTGGCACACACGCCAGAATCACCTGGGAAACTTATCTGAGCTTTGTGTTCATCGGGTCTGGGCTATGGTCTAGCCAGTGTATTCTGAAAAAGGCCCTCAAGGTAGATTTTTCAATTCCTTTTTAGGAACGACTGCACCGAAGCCCAGAAAAACTTAATGTTCTAACAGACATTTTAAATTTTAACAGTTACCAGTGGCTTAAGGCCTCAAATCTGGGTGTCATAGCTCCAAATACTTGATTTTTAAAATGCTTTTACACTGTTTAAGAGCTGCATACTATTAACTAAAAACACTATCCCCAAACACAAAGGACTAAAGTTGTCTGAGCACTAAACCTATCACTGGGATTGATTTGGTTCAAGTACAGGTAAAGATCATATAAACCTCAATTCTGAGCTTAACCAACATAAAAGCACACCTGAAATATACAATTATATCAACTAGACTAACTCATAGCCATCTTCCTATAGATATATTAAAATATACACCAAGCCAGTGTGCCACCTTTTGGATAATCTTGTGTACACAAAGTAGCCAAATAACGTAAGTAACTTCTTGTCCAATACAGTATTGGTAATTCCTATGAATCTGGAAATACTTTCTAAAGTTTACTGGTCTTTGTTCTCCTTTAAAACCGAGAGCTCTGTAACAGAACAAAGAAAATTCTGAAATCATTACTACATTAAACTTTCTATTTACATTTGTCTATGCCTTGTGGGGGCTAAGATTTCATTTTGAATAGATTTAAAATATAAACTACAAGAGGCAGTGATACCAAGACAGATAAGCTTTAGATGAGAGGGAAAGATAGGAATATCAATGAGTCATTGATCGGCTGCCTCCTGCACACCCCCTACTGGAGATCGAGCCCGAAACCAGGGCATGTGCTCTGATCGGATTTCAACCTCCATCGCCTGGATCATAGGTCAATGCTTAATTGTTGGGCCACGCTGGCTGGGATATTTACTCTTGATTATGTGGCTTCTCTTAAAAAAGTTCTCCCAATTGTTCGCAAAACTTTAAACAAAAGTCTCATTAAAAACTGAACTCAGGTTAGAATCTATTATGATATGCTAATGACCTGAAATATTTATCTTGCCCCTCAGTTTCATTTGTAAAATGAACTAAGGTCCCTTTTAGTAATGACCTTCAGTGTCCTGCGTTTCTATGTGAAAAAATAACTGAAAAGAGAGTAAGAATAAAATAAAATCATAACCAAAGTAGCATAACTTAAGGAACTGCCAGAAAAATCTGATAATCACTTATAACCGGAGTCTTGATTCCACATGGTTTTATGACCCGAAGGCTATAGTTTTTTAACTGATCTGATAAGGTACACATTTCAGGGATTAATTAAAAAAAAAAAAAAAGCTAAGCATTTTCTAGTTACTCTGAACACTAATGCCAAACCAAGCCTTCAAATGTGTAAAGATTGTTGAGCAGGAGGTTCCCCCCTAAACTGTGTGAGAATCAGTTTCAATAAGACTCAATCTGATGTAGCCCTTAGCCCAAGTATTTAGGAACAGATAAGTCTCATAACAAGGGAGCAGCTTACTACCTCTGCAGTGACCTCTCCGGAACAATCTCATTTCACTGACCACACTGGAAATGGAGGTAAGAAATTATAGATGTGACAACTACACTAAGTACGATCAATATACTTTGTATCCTTTAAATTAAGGAGTGCTGAACCCTCAAAGGCAAGGGTTTAAGAACATGGAAAATGTTACTTTATGTTAAAACTTTATAAAATATTAGAAACCAGGCTGTTTCCCTTCTTAAAATAAATACTGAAGCATGATTCCAATTAATTATTTCTCCATCCCTAAATCCCAAACACCTGATTACAATTTCTAAAATCACTCAACCTGAGGCTACTAGTACAATTTAGTGCCTTTTAAAATGTGGAGACTCAAAACAAAAACATCCCTGAGGTAGGGTAATAAACACTAGTGTTGACTTCACTGCAGTGAGAAAGCTCTTTCTAGTAAAGAACATAGTTCCATAATTTGGGGAGTGCGAGGGAGGGAAGAAATCTTAGCACTAAACTGATTTTGTAAAGTAATTTTCTAGCTGCTGTACTAGCAATTTTACAGAAACCAGGTGTAATTACAGCTGGGAACAGAATACCTTAGCATCTAAATTTATCTTTTTTTAGGTTTTCATTTACTGACAGTAATAGTTACTTTCACGCACAAATATACTGCTTAGCTCCACCACAAACATTGCTGACTGGTTCCAAAGAACCTTTCCAAGAAAACCCTTTTATTAATGAGGATTACCTAAAATAACCAAGCTTCAAAAAATGAGCCAAAATAAGATAATGGGAGTTTCACAAAGAATACTTAGAAATTTAGTGGTAACTAAACCCCCCAAAACAGAAGACCAGTGAAAACATAGTACAGTGGTTATGTCAAAGGCACAGGTCTAAGATCTGGCTTTGTTACTTTGTAACCCTAAAAAGCTCACTTTACGGCTTCTGGGCCTGTTTCTTTCACTCATGAGATAGTCCTAAATTAAAGATTTCTAGGTATGATTTGACTAGAAATGTTATGGTCACATAGACACCAATAATCAAAAAGGGTCAATAAAGATATGCAAACCTACTTTCCTACCATAGGAAGCTCTGAACAAGGGCCAAAGCCTTACACTCCTTTTCAATTTTTTCATTTTCTCCAGTTTTCCTTGCCTTCCCCAATGTAACCACAAAGTCCCTCCCCACTATATCTGAGGTGCTATTACCGCAGATACTGTAATTGCACAAAAATCTAAGTTCAAATAAGGCTCTAAAATGAGTACTGTGAACAATTCTACATTGAATTGATATGTGAAGAAATTTAATTAACTCAAACAACTGAGGGCCTGTTCCACAGCCACACCCACCGGATGCCTAATCTAGGAATGAAATAAGGCTACTTAAACAGCAAACTCACTAAAACTTTGACATGTTACCCTAAGTACAAAGCAGTGTCTAACCAACCTTTTAGTCACTGGCGATTGCCATCGCTTTCCCATCTGCATCCTGAGAGCAGTGGAGAAAAACAAATGTCAAGAATTCCATTAACCGAATGATTTACTTCAATGGCATTAAGTATCACTAATGGAGATACATTTTTTAAACATTCAAGATGTTCAGGAATTAATGCTATGATTTAACTGGTATTCTTTTAGTCATGCACACATGACATGGTGGTACAAAACTCACGAAGTTCTCATTTATTAGCTAATAACCACCAAACGAAACAACCCCCTGCCCCCAACAAAATCTGACCATGTCCTTCTGTCTTTGAATGGAGTTATCCAAATTCTAAAATAAACCCACAGCCCACCCTTTAAGTTATGAAGTTTCATCACCACAGAACAGCAGTGAAGACTGCTGAAGAAAAGACATTACCGAGGGGAAGTCTCTTTCTGGCGCTTTCGAGGTGATGGAGAGGCACTCCGGGAAGGGGAATGTCTCCGCCGCCTGCCTACCTCACCATTCTTCACATGGGACCTCTTGGGTCGCTCATCTTCTGAGGAAGAGGAGGAGCCAGAATCTATAATTACACAAGAAACAAAACATAACAGTAGGTCTGTGCTTAAAAAAATGTGTCCACATTTTCTGAATCTAAGTGGATGGAGTGTCCAAATTAGCAAGTCCACCAATGTAGTAGGCACATATATAAACCATCACCTTTGAACAAAGGCAATACCAACATCTGCTTAATGACTTGTAAGTGAAGCACAAATATATACATAATCATTACTACATAAATGTTACATACATCATTTCCACAGTATAATCCAAGGAGACCCAAAGACTTTTAACAATCTAATGATTTTCCTAAAAACTAAATAAAGCTTAAAAATCACCTCAATTAGTTGACTATTATTATTCTCTGCACTTTGAAAGCTATGGAAAGTTTTATTAGGGTCTGAATAACCTACTTCCATGTCCCTAGCATTGATAAGGCAAACAATATGCATGTGACATTTCCTACAGTCAGGGTAGCAAATGTCTAAGACTGCAAAAAGAAAAACTTCAATTGTTTGTACATGGTTTCCTTAACTTAAAATATTTAACTGTTCTCCAAATATTAAAACTTAATTTTAAAACGTAGTCCAAGTACCAAAACCCACCCAAGACCTATGAGCTTTTTCAAACTGTTTCACGACTAACCTCACCTTAAAAGAGTTGCAAAAGCTATGTAGCTTTTAACTGACTTAATGCCACTGTGGGGTGCTTTGGTTTCCACTATATAAATGAAAAACAAAGGTAGTGCCTGGACTCAGCTCCAAATACCAATTGAGCCAATGAAGTGAGAACATTTGGTTTTAAAAACAGGTTTCTGTGCACATATTCTAGTTCAAAATTTTCACTTTTAATTATTTTACAGATATATTCACACAGTACACAAAAAGAACTAAAAAGGGGTAACATAACCTACAATTTGAGCTTGTGTGGGCTTGTTTTTCCTTTTTAAACCACAGATGCTTATATGTGCAAAGAAAACTTCTGAATGAAAGCTCTGGGAAATAAGACTGGGGGTTGGGAAAAGAATGATACTTTTCTAATTTTATACCTGTTTTATTTGACCGTTGTACTCTAAAATCAGTTTATTTCTACGTAGACACAAACATGTTTCTCCTAAGTATGCTCACTATACTGATGGATATGCATATCTTAAGTATTTTTTTATTAGAAAATGCAGATAGAAAAAAACTTAATCAGTGTCCATACCAGATGATGACTGCTGGTTCTGTCGTCTGTATTGGCGTCTCTGCTGCACAGAATCTGCTGCAGCCATTTTGCCACCTTTATCTTCTTCTGAAAGATAGATGCATTTAGAAAGTGTTTCTTTAGTTATGCATACAGAAAGTGTAACATATTTGAGTAGGAAAATGGTCTCTTAAACCTTTATCTGGTTGGGTCAAGCAATGTAACAATATATATAAATAAAATATAAGCATATTTTAAAAGTATATATTTGTTTGCAAAGAAAGAAAACCTTAAAATGCCAATTTAAATGCCAATTTAGACCATCACCACCAAATATAATAAAAATAAACTTCTTTAGCCCCGGCTAATGCAGCTCAGTTGATTGGGTGTCATCCTGTGCACCGAAAGGTTGCGGGCTCAATCCCTGGCAAGGGGCATGCAGGAGGCCCCTGATCAATGGTTCCCTTTCACATCTATGTTTTTCTCTCTCTCTCCCCCTTTCTCTCTCTAAAAATCAGTAAAAACCCCAAGAACTTTAAAACAAAAATACTTTAGGCAATTGCTATAGGTCAGGGTGGGTACCAACCACTTTATAAGCAGTATTTCAGTTAATTGCCAAACCCAAAGGATGATACTGTTACCCACATTTCAGATGTCAAAGAAATGAGGCTAAGATAAGTAATTAAACAAGCAAAAAGCAGAGTTAAGTAGTGGAGCCTGGGAGTCAAACCAGGTTGGTCTGACTTCAGAGTCCTAGCTCTTTATCCTGTAATTAATCTTTAACTCAAAGGGTTTGATCAAATGTATAACAAACTGAATTCTGCTTAAAACAAACATACACACAAAACTTACCTGATTCAGATAACTCTACTTTTCTAGGCTTGGGTGCTGGTGAAGGAGACTCTCTTTTCTCAGTACCTTTATGTTTTGTCACTAAAAAGAGTATGGGGGAAAAAAACAACAACACACTTAAAAAAGAAAACAAAAGAGCTTCATAAGACATCTTCTTAACAATACAAAAATAGGCATGACTATTCTCATAAAGAATTTACAGAGAATTACAAAATTCTGTAAGACTTTTTTTTTTATCATCATCTGAGTAGTACCTGGAGTAGAAGCAAGAATTTTTAAATATTGGGTGAAAAGCCCCCAAAAGTTCTACAATGATTTAGGATCTTGAGATTCACCCAAAAAAAACCACAATAGTTACAGAGAAATTGGGAGCCATTTCTGAGAACAAGCTTTACCCTATGTGTAACGTTCAGCTCAATAAACCTGTGTCTTACCCCACAACTTAGAACAGTCTGTGAGGCCTCACCAGCATAAAAGCTTTCAAACACCCATTATGGGTAGGTTCACAAAATGGATGATAATTTAAAAATTTTATTTGCTGAAATTCTCAGAGAAAGATATTTGGTCTGAAGAGGAGGAATAAACTAGCCACCCAAGAGGCTGTAGGCTCTTGATGTAGAACATAACCTTCACAATAGTGTGGGGGATTTAAACTACCTATAAAAAAAGTAGACCTTTACAATAGCAAAAATAATTAAATATTGAGGCTGGAAGATCCTTTCCAAAGCTTAGAGAAGGAAAGAAAGAAAAAGGAACCACCAGCAGTAGCAGCTCTGAAATACACCCAAGGTAGGAGAGCTGGGGGTACCTTATGAATGATACGACTTATCTTTTCCCAATTGCGTGGAAAATTATTACAGCAGTTACCTTTTGTATGCTCACTATGTTAAGTACTGTTAAGCACTGTTGCTAATTATTACAGCCCCCCACCTCCATTTTACAAGAGGAGAGACCTGAAGTTTAAATAGAAGTAACTTTGAAGTCACACAGATAATTTAAGTGAACTAGGATCTGACTCCAACACACTATTTCTAAGTATAGGCTTTAACTTCCAACAATTACTACCTGTCTATAATAGCCATCCACTGCTTCAACTAAGATCAAAAGTTTATAGAAATATAATCATTAATCTTACCATAGATTAACCTGAACATCATTTGACAATACTCTAAGAACTAAACCTGAAGACAATGTGATCCCCCTCAGGATCTTTACAACTGTTTTGATTTAAAGCAATTACCATGGATGTTTGACCTACACTGTAGATACATGTAACAGGTATTCATATTCAGAATTCTATCAAGGCTCATTCAAGGGGCAGTAACTTGAGAGAACTAGTGATCTAGAACAGCAATCTCATCTTTGCTAACATAGTCAAACTAAAGAATTCACCACTACACTTTTAAAACCACCAGCATTTTAGCCCTGGTCAAGTAGTTCAGTTGACTAGAGTGTCACCCCAATATGCCAAGGTGGTGGATTTGATCTCCTGTTGGGGTACATACAAGAATCAACCAATGAATGCATAAACAAGTAGAACAAATCAATGTTTCTTTCTTTTCGCCATTCTCTAAAATCAATAAATAAAAATTTAAAAAAATAAAACAACCAGCATTTTATTAATGATTCTACCTAATAAGGCTTTTGGACAAACTGATGGATTGGGTAAAGAATGGTTAACACCTAATTAGTTATCATGAAATATGGTAGTACTGTAAGTGCACTTAAAACTTGTATTTTAATAAGTTAAAAAAAAATAGAAAGGCTTTAAATTTTTTAGAGATTTGAGGTTATTTTCATTCTGGTCAGTATCCACCCCTCCTTTTAAATGTTTTAATTGATTTTTAGATGGGGGAGAGAAACAGGGAGACTAGGAGGAGGGGGAGAAAAAAACATCAAATGGTCGCCTCCCATATGCACCCACACTGGGGATGGAACCAGAAACCTTTTGGTGCATAGGTCAACGCTCTACCAACTAAGCAAAACTAGCCAGGGCTTCACCATTTTTAAATGTCAGTTAATCTTCAATGCTTGAAAAAGATTTTATAGGCATCCAGTTATCTATAAACCCTCATGTTCAAATTACCGCCTTGGAAAACTGGGTTCCAAAATGTGTTTGGATGACAGAATGCATTTCCCCCTAATAAACATTAAAAATGTGGTTATATTTGCCCGGCCAAATGGCTCAGTGGCTGAATGTCAACCTATGAACCAGAAGGTCACGGTTCAATTCCTGGTCAGGGCACATGCCCAGGTTATGGGCTAGATCCCCAGTAGGGGGCGTGCAGGAAGCAGCCAATCAATGACTCATCATTGATGGTTCTTTTTTCTCTCCCCCTTCCTCTCTCTGAAATCAATAAAAATATCCATATTTTTAAAAAATGTGGTTATATTTGGAAGATGGCTGGCAAATGCCTACACAGTAAACAATACAAACCTAACTACAACATTATCTACACATTTTTCCATAGAAATATGCATTTGGAGTTTTTTCTTAACTCAATCTCATTAATGGCTTAGCTAAAGTAGTCCTTAATTATTATTAAATCTAGTCACCATTAGACAAGCATCCATTATATACCCCTACTCTGGTTCAATGGCTAACCTAATAAGATTATTAACATTATAATGTTAATATTTCATCGAGGTTTGTCTAAATGAGATTTTATCCATCCAAATGTTTATATTTTTTGTATTCAAGGGGCAAAAAATCATTCTAACATGAAGTCAGAAATCTTCTAAGTCAACTGAAAAATCAGCATTTTAAATTTATTTCAGCAGTCCTATGAATTATTAATCCCCCAGACTTGTCCAAAAGATGACTTAAACATCAAAATACTTTTCCTGCCTCTCTCCCACTCCATTTGCCTACTATCAACAATAGAAACTTTACTTAAAGCCTGACTAGTGACTACTATATGAATTACAAAAGTAAAATCTATTACATTTTAATGTCATTGCTCTTATTAGCCATGAAAACGGCAAAAAAAGGAGTTTCTAAAATCATACTACCAGGTACAGAAGCTAAAGAATTTCATCTTGGCCTGGCAGGGTGTGGCTCAGCAGTTGAGCATTGACCTAGGATCCAGGTGATCGGGGTTCGATTCCCGGTCAGGGCACATGCCCAGGTTGCGGGCTTGATCCCCAGTCGGGGTGTTGCAGGAGGCAGCCAATCAATGACTCTCTCATCACTGATGTTTCAAGTCTCTTTCCCCTTCTCCCTTCCTCTCTCTGAAATCAATAAAGACACATTAAAAAAAAAAAAAAAAAAAGATTTTCATCCTGTGCTCCATTTCCCTTCTCCAGAAATCAAAACAGGCATTTTGGAGAAAGAGGGTTCAACCAAGTATACATTTTTCAACTGGAAATGAGAACCCAAATTCTAGTCCTGGCTGGCTCTCACCAAGTCACTTAATCTAAGAACCTCTTTCTTGACGACAATCTCTATAGTTGTTTCTAGCTCTGAAATTTCATCACAGATGACTGGGATCATTTTACTATAAAAAATTATTTCCAGGTAGTTGGAACCAATATTCAGCTTCAGTGGTCACAAGGCAGCCTCTGACTACACTGATCACAGTGCGTCTCTTTGGCTAGGTTTCGTTTGAACATGGAAAGAACTGCCCCAGAATCCACAGGAATAGAACTAGTCCTTTGTCCCCCACCTTGACTTATTTCTTGCTTATGTGCATATCCACTGTGACTTGTTACTGAAAAGCAACAGCCTGCTCGCTCCAATAATATATCAAAACACAAGCAGTTAGTACCTATGAAGGTAACTACCTTTCTTCAAAAGTTAACTACTAATTCTTAATAACTAACCTACTTTAACAGGGATTCAGTCCTTCTGTTCAGGTACACTTATCACCCTTTGCTATATGATGTAAAAAGAAAAATCATAACTTGATGTGTTTTTGCAAAGTGACAAGTGACAACATTTATAATATTTTTTCACCAGAGAGCTTTCTGGCTCCAGATAAAGGAAAGAAATATTCAGAAGTCCCAACAATTCAGAGGAAAAGGAAAAAAAAGGTCAGGACAACAGCATTAGATTTGGACATGGTGAGTGGAAACTATGGACAGACTGAAATTTTGAAACAGTAACATGGGATATGAGGTTATAAAAAGTAAGTGATCCTAAAACCCCCTCCCATACTTTAAGTCTGAACCTGGAAGACCTTAATGTTTCTCTATTCTTATCTGGCTGCCTGTCTATATATGAAGAGCCAGTACAAGAAAAAGGACCACATATTTAGTTATGTATCACCAAATTAGCCTGTTAAAATTCAGAAAATAACCTATACATTACTCTTTACAGACTACCATTATTCCCCATTCACTCTGACAGCTTATCTATACCTCACTGTAACAGAATTCAAAAAAGGTAAAGCAAAATTTGCCTTTCTAGGTACCAATATCAACACATTGGGGGGTAAAGGGAAAGGAAGCAGCGAAATGCTGATGAGAAATCCAGATCTTGTTAAATTCATTAAAATATATTCAAAATTCTGCCCATCTCCATTTTGTTTAATTTCTAACCTGAAAATTCAAATGTGTTAAGAGCAACTATATGTTGCTCCTTAAAATCCAAATTACTACAGCAGCTTTTTAGATTCCCCCCCTCTGCCACTACTAACCTTCCAGGGTGTCTTTCTCATTCCAGCCCTAAGCACCAAAGCCTGATTCCATTCAAACAGATCCTATAATGCGTATTTAATACTAAAGAATAAACCCCAAAAGACCACAACCTTTGCTAGGACTTATACGGTGAGCATTCTACTTGCCTGGCAAGATCACAGATCATAAGTTCCTCAGAAATCAATCTAAACAATAAAGCAAGGACAAATACTCAAGAACCCTGCCTAGAGCCTAAATTTAAAAAACAAGCCAGCTTTTAAGAGGACACTATGTCCTTCCCTAGAGAGTACAATGTGGCCAAGAAAAGAATTAAAAAGGATATGAAGTCCTCAAACAAGATATCAAACAAAAAAATCTCTGGGGTTGGGGAGTTAACTGGTCTCATAGTAATACAAATATCCCTTATCATGATGATACAACTTTGATAAGTTACTCAAAACCAAAAAGCCCTAAATGATATTTCTCTACCTACTCAGTGCCAGAGGGCACTGCTAAAAACAAAACACATGTAAAGTCTATTTCAACAAACCTCAAGAGAAGGAAAGAAAAGGTGAACCTCTAAGCAATTTACAAAGAACATCACATACAAATATTACCCAGCTACTTCATACTTTGAAGGGGAAAGGGGGCGGCCAAAAACTAAGCACTTTATAAGCAAATGAAGAACATATTGCTTTTGTTTGATTTTTACCTTTACCTGAAGTTCTCCCTGGAGAGACAGAAACACGACTTTTTCTTGTCCGGTTTGACTGCTGGGGTGTTGGGGAATGACGAGTTTTTGGTGGAGGAGTTGCTGGAGGTGATGGCCTATGCCTTCGCCTTGGAGGACTTGCTGACGGAGACAGCCTACGCATTTTTCGAGGGGGGCTGGATGTCCTCTTAGGAGGCTTCTTTGGAGGTGACCGGGAACGAGACGAAGAGGAAGATGAGCTACTCCCAGACAAGGATGCTGATGAACGCCTCCTTCTGTAGAATAAAGTATTCATATTCAGTAACTGCATTCTTACAAAGAATGACCATACAGGTATGTACAGTTTATGCAAAAATACAGCTATTTTTATCCAACTTTTGAGTTTATGTAGCTAAGCAGATAATGAGTCTTTAAAAATGGGGAACAAAACCATAACCTAGCACAGGAAACAGCTAGTTCAAGACTAACTAAAAGAAATAAATTATCCTGATAAATGTATGTTTGAGTTGTCTTTCCAGTTATAAAATATGTTGAGCGCTAATAGCATAACTAACCAGTCTCTTTCTTCCTTAGAAATGGTATTAGTGTTTTGGAGTTTGCATACAATATTTGGGTGGCAAGGTATTGTCTATTTAATAACACAGTATCAAGCACCTTATAGGATGCGTTTTTAAAGAGATGTGCAAAGATTAGGAATTCATTTAGCTACATAAACTTAGAAGCAGGGGCCTCTCGAATTCTGCGGCAAAATTTGTGTTAAGTTCTGTTGCAATTATGTGTACCTGCAGAATTCACCTTTGGCAGAAGAATTCCTGAGAACCTGAAAAAAAGAAACCCTACCTTAAGTGTGAGATAAAAACTGCCTGAAAGGGAATCTTACACAATCTGCAAAATATTGACTGCTAAATGGCTCAGTAAGCACAATTAAAACATGCTGTTTGCAAAACTCCAATATAAGAAATAGCTGTTTCCACTAATCTTTTACTAGGAAAGCACCAGTTTTACTTTTCTGCTAAGGAGGAAAAATCAATTTTAGAAGTGTGATACCTAAACTGACCATTCATTATCAGTCTCATTTATCAGTAGTAACATCAATTCTGTAATTTTTAATAGTTATAAAAATGGTTCAATATACTTTGACAACTCCTCCCCAGGGAAAAATATTATTTTTTAAAAAACTATGGGATTCTGAAAAACCTCAGACGGCAAAAAAACAAAAATTATTTTATTTCCAGGTCCATTCGGTTCCCTGAAAACAACCTTAAAAGACTCAAATACAAAAAAATTCTGTCCTAATTGTAATCTGAAGCATAACCATCAGAGTTCCTTCTAAAAACAGGTGAAATGCATTGTCAAGAAGGCGCAGAACTTTGCTATCAGTGAACCAGACCTCTATTTTGGACAGATACAGCAACAATCTTTTTGTTAAAGGTGACAGATCAGAAGATTTTACTTTATGCTAATTTTAAGATGATTTTTAGAAAAGAACACTGACATTAACAGGTTTAATGCCTAGTCTCTTAAAAAAGTAACCAGACACCAAACTGCTAATAATGGTTATATCTACAGAATGGGATTGTGGATAAAAAATTTTTTTGAGAGAAACATGAATTTGTTGTTCCACTTACTTATGCATTGTTTGATTATTGTATGTGCTCTGGCTGGAAATCAAACCCACAACCCTGGCGCATCAGGATAAGGCTCTTAACAGCTAAGCCACCCAGCTAGGGCTGGGTAATTTTTATTTCTGTTAGAATTGTTTATAGCAAGCACTTACTTCTATAATGACAAAAAAGCATTTAAAAAATATAAAAGTATATGCCTAGCCAGAATGGCCCAGTTGGCTGAGCACCGGAGCATCGTCCTGTGCACTGAAGAGTTGCTGGTTTGATTCCTGGTTGTTGCTCCCCCACCCAAATCTCTATAAGCATGTCCTTGGGTGAGGATTAAAAAAAAAGTGACTAAAAGTAAATGTACAATTAACACAAAATGGGTTATTTTAATACTGGTAAAAGCAGCTTACTGGCTCTATGGTCATCTGCTTTTCAGAAACCAGTGGTAATTAAAAGCAAAAAAAAGAGGGAAGGTGACTAATTTCCTTACTTGATAGGATTTCTTGGTGGGGTTTGAAAGGTTAAGAGTTAACAAGAGGTATCAATAAGATGGTGAATTTCTTTTTTTTTTATTTCCAACACTAGCATTATTTTTCATTGCAAATAACAGCACTACACCTTAAATGAGATAGGCTCTTGGGAAGACATTATCTACTACTCATGCGTTCTTTCTTCCAGGGGGCCACTAATATAAAAAGATTAGTCTAAAACAAACATATGGTGCATTTTAATACACCTGACATTATCAAATAAAAAAAGAAAGCAATCAAGCTCACCGCCTCACTGGAGATCTACTCCTTCTATGCCTTGGTGGAGGAGGCATTCGTCTTGGTGGAGTTCTTCTTCGAGGAGATGGCCGTCTTCTTGGGCTTGGCCGCCTTCTAGGTGAGTATGATCTGCCAAAACAAACAAAATTAGGACCTGAATACATCAGTAACACGCAATGAATTGTTTGACATAGTTTTCTAAACACCTACATTAAAAAAAAAAGAAAAGGATTTCAAGGGATACAATTCCATTTATGTAGAGATTTTTATGGTATACTTGAAAAAATAAATGTCTTTACTAATTTCAGAGAGAGGAGGGGGGGAGAGAGAGAGACATAAATGATGAGAGAGTTATTGATCAGCTGCCTCCTGCACGCCCCCCACCAGGGACCGAGCCCAAAACAGGTGCATGTGCCCTGACCAGGAATCGAACCACAATCTCCTGAATCACAGGTTGATGCTCAACCACTGAGCCATGCCAACTGGGCTATGGTATACTTTCTTTTTAAGGTATACATAAAGCATCCTCAAAGTCTCTGTAAACTCAAAGAACAACATTTTACTAAATGTTTCCAACTGCTTTGAAACTAGTTACCTACTCTTATCTAGAAGACTAGCACATAAGATCTAAGCACTATGCAGATATTAAATCCACAACACACCTTGATCTGGATCTATGGCGCCGTCTAGGTCGAGTATGAGAAGGAGAGCGAGACCGTGTCCGGGATCTGGATTTGGAACGTGACCGAGATCTTTGTCGGGTCTTCTCCTTCTCCTTTTCTTTTTTGGAATTTTTCTCCGGAGAGGGTTCTTTAGGCTCTGGTGCAGGTTCAGGCTTGGGAACTTTTAGGATGTCACTATGAAAAAAAAAAAACAAAACAAAACTCACAAACTTATTTCCCCCTCTCTTCTATTCAGACTCTTAAGTTGTAACTCAATGAATAAAGTTATTTCTCTTTTCAAAAAGTTTTCGGCCCTGGCCAGTGTGGCTCAGTTGGTTGGACGTCATCCCATGCACTGAAAGGTTGCTGGTTTGATTCCCTGTCAGGGCACATGCCTGGCTTCGGGCTTGATCCCCGGTGGGGGGCGTGCAGGAGGCAGCCAATCAATGTTCTCTCCCCCCCTCCCTTCCCTCAAAAAATCAGTAAAAAATCTTTAAAAAGTTTTCAAAATCTATGAAGACTTCTCCCAAGCTCCAAGTGCAGTGAGAGCAACTAAAATTCTAACTGCATACCTTTTCTTAAAGTGCAGAGTTGTCCACAATATTGAAAGAAAAAAACTCAAGTTACAGTATATAAAATATTTGAAAAGAATACAAGCAAAGGGAAGCAGTGGTCACCTTTCAGGCATTTTATTTACATTCTCCTTTACAATTTAAATTTTTCTACAAGCTTATTTTATAATTTTAAAAAATACTAAAAATAAATCAAGTAGTTTTGTTTCAAACAGGTATCATACTTGCACTCACTTAGTAACAGCCTAAAACGGTGACCTTTATAAATGAATTTTTATGTACTTGCCTAGTAGAAGTGGCCTCTTGTACTGAAGGTTCTTTTACTTTTGCTGATGGTTCTGGGAGCTCTGGAGTTTTCTCTTTCTTTTCCGGAGCAGGGGAAGGACTCCGGCTCTTGGTTCTGTGACGGGGAGATCGAGAATGACTGCGCTTTCTCTCTCTCCTGACAGGGGAAGATCGTCTTCTAGGGGAAGGAGATCTGGATTTGCGTCTAGGATGAAAGCAATTTTTTTCAGGTTTTTGAATAATGTGGATCAGAGAAGAGAGTCAAAGGCAGAAGTGAGAGTTAATCTTTATAATTACATCAGTATTGTTTATATCTGAGAAGTTCCCTATGGAAATAATGTATCCTATCACATTTACTTAATAGGGAAAGGGACAAGAGAAAACCAGAGACAAGCAAACCAATGATAACATTCTCTGGTATACTAGTTACAATGGAGGAAAGCATTGACCTGGACTCTAGATTTTGGTTCTTAATTAGTTCCAGAAATGAGGAGACCAAAGACCAGTTTTTGAGGGAGATGATACTTAAAAGTACAGCTGACTCTTGAACAACGCGGGGTGTAGGGACGCCAACCCTTCAAGCAGTTGAAAATCTTTATAACTTTTGACTCCCTAAAACTACTAATAGCCTACTGTTGTGACCAGAGCCTTAGCAATAACACAATCATTAACATGTATTTTGTATATTATACGTATTGTATACTCTACTCTCACCCTAAAACTGGAGAAAATATTAAGAAAATCATAAGGGAACATAGAAGAAAAATCATAAGGGAGAGAAAATATATTTACAGCATTTACCGAAAAAATCCTAGTAAGTGGACCTGCGCAATTCAAACCCTCGTTGTTTAGGGTCAACTATAAAGAGATACTCCCTAATAATAAATTAAACCCAACAAAACAAAGTTTAGATGCAGACAGATTCCACTAGAGTTCATCAGGAAAAGCCTAGGTATTCCAGAAAAAATAATCAATGCAATTAAACCAATATGCTCTTTAGCCTTTCCTGCAGTAATGACACCTCCCCAAGACAACAAGCCTCTCCCTAAGGCTCTCCTCCATCCCTCTCCAGAAAAGAGGAAACACAAGAAGCAGCACCTGGTGCAGAGCCCCAATTATTTCTTCACGGATATGAAATACCCAGGATGCTATTAAAATCACCACCGTCTGAAGCCCTGCACAAACAGTAGTTTTGTGTGTTGGTCACTCCACTGTTCTCTGTCAGTCAACAGGAGGAAAAGCAAGGCTTACAGAAGGATGCTCCTTCAGGAGAAGCAGCACTAGAAGCACCTCAAATCGAGTAGGGAACCATCCCAATACATACATTTTGGGTTTAAAAAAAAAAGGCAGTATCAAACTTGCATAAGATAAATTTTTTGAAAGAAAAGCCCCCTTTTCAATAGTTTTCTAACTTGAAATAAAAGAGTAGACCTGGTTCATCAGTAAGCAGTTACCACTATGATTTGTGCTTAACTCTAGAAATAGTACTGCTTCCTGGACAAGCAGGTTTTAATAGCAAATATATAAATGGGAGGGACAAAGAAATTACCTACTCCCTTTACTAATTCCAGCAGATTGCTGAAGAAATTAGCAGAACCACAAAAAATGAAAAGCCTAGTGGAATTCTCACTTTTTACCACAAATACAGTAGAAGCTGAGTCCTGGATTTAAAAATGGGAACCTAACCATAGTCTCACTGAAAGGAAGAAAACAAATATGTTTGGGGTTTAGTACAACCATCTAAGAAAAGCAGAATAAGGAATTAGAAAAGTAGAACATGAACAGCTAATGGACACAGATTTCTATAAAGGAAATCTGAAGAAAAAGAGCTAGACAATATTAAAATAACTCATATTAATTAAATGCTATATTTAAACTAAAGCAATATGGGAAACAAGTCTAGATTTTGATTTAAGAATTAAGAGTTGAATAATTCACCAAGATTTTAGAGACAAGCATAGTCAAGTCATTTAGTCCAGAGGCAAGCAATAGCTCACCATGAAAATTTTATGATGGGAGAGATTCCCTGTATAATGCAGGTAGCTTCCTTAGTGAGGGGGTAACTTTCTACACACAGAACACCTTAATACCTAAGTACTTGTAAACACTGGCTAACACATTCACTGCACTGTACCTCCGTGGGCTTCGCGACCGCTCCCTTTTTTCTCTGCTGCTCTCTTTTTCTTCCTTATCCCTCTTATCTTTGTCTTCGTCTTGCTTTTTCATAGATGCCAACTTTTCTTGCTCAATCTGCAAAGATCATGTTTTCCAAGTAAACATAGCTGAACAGTTGAGATCAACAAGCAAACTGAAGACTTTGCACATCTGACAAACACCAAAGCTATAACTGTCACTTCATCAGCCTCTGCTTTTCAACAAGACTATTCTTTCCTCATCTACTATAGGCATACGTTAAGATTGGCACAAAATAAATACTTGTTGAAAATTAATCACTAAATTAAAGGGAATGGTTGTTTTTAAAAGTTAATTTTTAAAAATCATTTTCACCCTGGCTGGTGTGGCTCAGTTGTTTGGGCACCATCCTGTGCACCGAGAGGTTGCTGGTTCGATTCCAGTCAAGGCACACGCCCTGGGTTCCCAGTAGGGGGCATCAGATAAGATGTTTCTCTTTTCTCCCATCCTATCTCTAAAAATCAATAAACTATTCTTTAAAATGAAAAAACATTTTCACATTCATCCTTTTTTAAAATGATTTTTTTTTTTTTTTTTAGAAAGAGGAAGCGAGAGAGGCACTGATTTGTTGTTCCACTTATTCATGTCTTCATTGGTTGAGTCTTGTATGTGCCCCAACTGGGGACCAAACCACAACCTTGGGGTATGGAAATGACACTAATCAACTGACCTGCCCAGCCAGGGCCATCCTAATGTTTTTTATTTAACATGTACTGCCTATATCAAGAGCCTGTGCTTATCTTTTACACTATTATTAGTAGTAGTAGTAACCTAAATTACTGGACTCTTGAAATATGACATTCTAAATTCAATGTTTGGGTTGGGAGAGAACAAGTGGAGAGCGCCAAAACTGAATGTTAAGATACATTACAGCAAAGCAAATCAACATGCTGTTCCTGGCTGGGTAATGTAAAATTTAAAGTGCCTCAGCAGTCTGGACACTACTCTCTCAAATTAACATTATAAAATGAAGAGATTACCTGTCTCTGTTTTATTTCTTCTTTCTTCAGTTCTAGGAAAGCAGAAGGGATTCCAGCGATGTTTTCTTGTGCACTTAAGAGCAGGGGCCACAGTTCTCCCATAAATTCTCTAGCATTTTTTCCATTCAAAAACCCAGTCAGGTTGATTTGCATCATTTTGGAGTCTGGATTCTGCAAAAAGACATGACAGGAAGAGAAACAGGTTACTCCGAAACCAACCAACCAACCTAAAACTCATTTAAATTAGTATTTTTTAAGTAGTACCATAGGGGCTTAGATACATGTATATTTTTTTACTATTTTAAAAATAGTTTTCCCTAGTAGTTTCTCAGCAGTATAATCTCTAGCAGATTACCAAATTCTCTCACTCTACCAAAAGCATCAGAGCAGCCTGTTACTCCTTTGTGGATTTCATAAGTATTTTTAGACTATGTGGCTGTTAGTGGGCCTTACATTTATTAACTTTAAAAAAAAACACAAAAAACCACCACGGAACATCCACAAATTCTTGCACTTATTTACTAACATGTAAAGTGTTTGCTTGCCTGGGAATTTTCCGCTAATGAGAAATGAGAAAGGACATAAACTGTTCACTTCTCTAACATTGTGGATAGCTTTCTATGAAATATCTACAGTTCACTTACGAAAACTAACAAGTTATGCATGCATTCTGTAACTTTGAAAACTAAGCTGAAAGACTGACTTTTACATAAGGAAAATCTGTTATAATAATGCCTCAAATTCTCAACTGTCCACAAAGGGCTAAGAGGTCAAGATTTCTCAAAAATAACTGGATTTTTAAATGCTAAATCTGTTGGTCAAGCAACAAGGTCCATATAACAAGCACAGCTCAATAGCACAAAGCAAGTACAGATTCCAGGTGTCTTCAGTTTCTTCTTGGAACCTTGGGGGTTTGGAATCGCCAAGTCCCCTGTAGAGAAAGATGTTCCCTTGGCTTGCTTCCGACTCCCTACTGCAACTCAACCACCTTGAGTTTAATGTTATATCATTTATCTAAATTGCAAAAGACGAACAAGCAATAATGAGTACACAACCACAAAAAAAGATTGTTTAAAAAAGTTCTAAACTTTAATCTCATGCTCACTACAAGGGGAACACTACCAGATACTTAGGATTTAAAATGCACTAAAATACAAATCAGTAAAGCATTTCTCCAATAAAATCTATCTTTAACCATCATTTAAATGTTTTCTCATGTTCCTGGTTTTCTAAACAAAATGTATACATTTCAAAGGAAATGTTTTCTTAAAATTAAATAATCTTTAAAACTATTCAAAACAAAGTGTAATACCAAGTTATTTTTAAAAACAGAAATACCTTCAGTTGAAATGCCAACTGTTCTGTCAAAACACAAGGGTGAACTCTTAGGGAAAAGAATTAATGTAAAAGTAAATTCACGTTCGTATATTTGCCAGAAAGTTCGAATGGTACATCTTACTGGCCTTGGGGTTGTTGTGGAAAATAACAAACTATCTTACAATAAAAATGTTTATAAAGTATCTGTTCTAGCATCTCATAATATCTCATGTATGAAGAAAAGAACAATTATATTAACTGGTTCTAACAATACTGCCCATTTTAGTCTGAAGTTTAACTATAATGTAAACAAAAATTCTTTGCCTATATGTAATTGATGACTAGCTAACATGCAGCTACAACTAAAGACTTTATTTAGTTCCTTGATTATTTTAAAAACAATATTCTTCAAATTAGAATTGCCCCTCATGCTTCACATAAATGTCCATCTTGTAACAGTACTTTTAAAGAGCAGTGTATAGATTTACCCAATTGCTCTTTCCTGTCTGTGTTTTTTTGTTGTTGATGTTCGGCCACTTTACACAACTCACCTCCAAACACACACTGCATCATCAAGGGAGTTGGGTCAGAGCGACATTGGGACACTCACTCTGCTGTGACCTAATAAGGTGATGGTGCTATACTTCAGACGCAAGGAATAACTTCCATTTTGGTTCAGGCCTTTTAAATCATAAATCACATTATCATTAGAAAATTGCTGTCAAAGTAACTTAACATGTAACAGCAAAATTACAAACAATAAGTTTGATTTTTCACCTGTGTAGCTTTCAAAACTATGTACCTTCACTAAACTTCCAGCCTTAATAGTTGTTTACAAAGTGAATTCTTTTCACAACAAACATTGTAAAATAACCTTCCTATATTTGTACTCCATAGAAAAATGCAGTTCCCATAGATACACAAAATTATGTCATATATGCAGAAATAAGAGTCATTTGTGTATTATTACCTTCACTTCCAGCTGGTTGAATATAAATTCAATCACAACATCATCTTCAAACCCAAGGATTTCCGTTACTCGTTTTGTTATCCAAGGCTTTATAACCTCCAAATTTACTTTGCTCATATCCACCTGATGAAACATGCAAGCAATTATTGAGTACAACTTCACAATCCTAAAAATGCTCCCTCAAGAGTCTTATCTGACAGAGTTCCTTTTGGCTCATGAACTTGTTTTGTTTAGCATGGTACAATGTGGCTCATTCTTATTTGGTGGCACTATTCTGTGTCTGCGTGTACTGTTGCTAAAAGGTGGAAGATGTTTAATTATGTTTTCCTTAGCATTCATATTACAGTACATATCCAAAACAATCCCAACATGTTTGAATAAATTGTGCTACACAGTGCGGAAGTTTTATCCAGAAGAATACCTTTTTTTCTAGGCATTCTGCAAATTTCAGCTGCTTCAGTAGCTTCTTCTGTTTGTTGCTGAACCGATTATCCTGTTCGGCACTTGTTCCCTACAGGAAGAGAAACGTATTTTAATTAAGAGGTCAAAGTCAAGTACCTACTTTTTATCAGCTAATGATGGCTTATGACCATTACACTCAAAACAGGATAATCAAGGCCCTGGAAGCGTAGCTCAATTGGTTAGAACATCATCCCGATACAGCAAAGTTGCAGGTTAAATCCCGGGTCAGGGCACATGCAAGACTCAACCAATGATGCATAAACAAGTTGAACAACAAAATCACTGTTTCTTTCTCTCTCTCAAGTCAATAAATAAAAATTTTTAAAAATAGGGCAATCAAGTAAGTGGAAACACTATAGCTAATACTTGTAGGTGTAGAATGCATACGTTTTCCCCCACCGCAGCATTTTGTAAACCGACTGTATTTAAAAATTACAAAATATATGCACACTGTAACAGTAAAAAAATAGCAGTACACAGCAAAATGCTAACGCTTTCCCCCACAACCAAGTTAAGTTTGATGTTTATCTTTTTATACCTTTTTCTATGCTAAGACCCTTAAGGCTTTTTTGTTTAAATTAAAACACTAAAAAATTTACTATGATTAATATATATCCTTTCAAACAAGATCGTTAAGTTCCATTCTCTTCTGAAAGTCAGTAGCATGTTTGCAAAATATTGTGGCAACACATATAAATGGGGAAAAGGAAAAAAGAACATGCTAGGTCTGTGTTGTGTTACTTTCCCACAACTTTAACAATCTGGAGTGCATGAAAAAATACAGGTTTACCTTTAAAAACTTCATTTCAGCAAAGAATTTGGAAAAATGAATTTACAAATACTACATTAGACCATCAAGTGATCACTAATTGGTCTGCATTTTGTCCTTCCTACTGGCCCAATTAAGTATGAAAAAACTGGCCCATGTGATATGAAATCTGACTGGTTCAAGGAGCTGGCACTATTCTCTGGAAAATTATCAAGAAAATTTTGCTTGGGAAGGTTAAGTACCTGGATTACAATTGAAATTCTGCCATTACTTAAGCCATATAAACAAGCAAGTTACTTAACCTTTCTGAGGATGTTTCCTTACAGGGCTGTATATATCAGAAATGATATATGTACAGTAACTGGCATGTGGCAGAAGTCCAGCAAATAAAAGCTATCATTTTTACCTTAACTGAAAATTTCACTTTACTATCTGATCGGCAGTGTACTAAAAAGATAACTGCCCTAAAGTCTTTTTTAACTCAGAGCTTAATTTTAGTCAATCCCTCTAAGAAACTGTAGGCAGTGTATAAAAAACTGCACCCGCTCCTTCCAGATTTTTACCAACACCAAACGCAAACTTCATTTTTAAATTTATCAACCACCTTGCTCTTTTTCTATGGGAACTCCTTTCCATGGGAAATAATATCAAAAGAACAGGCTTTTGTTTTAAAATACTACATTTAGACCACAGGAAATAGTATTTACTACATAATACTTTGATGGAAAATGCAACATGGAGAGTTTTCATCAGCAGTGTGAAAATTTGATAAGCTCTCTCAATTGAAACTATCATCACATACACACAGTACTGTTTGCATAACCTAAGGACAGTCAACTAGCTGGCTGATTTAAGTCAAATGCATGGAACAATATTGCAACTTTTGGTGAAAGAAAAAAAACAGTTGGCACATTAAAAGCCGATTAAAGAACAATTTCAATGTCAGGTATCTTAATAAAGCCCCAGTCTTCCCCCCTTCCAACTTTTCCTTTAAAAACACACTTAAAAACTGCAGAAAGGACCAACCTACATTACACAAAGTACAGATTTTGAACCTATCTCTATATGGTCCATTCTGCACTAAAACAATCTGGAAGCTCTAATCCTATTAGCGTGACTTCCCACCCATCTAGATCTCCCCTGGGTGTTCATTTCCTACAGGAGTGGATTATGGGGACAAATGTGCTCCAGCACGAGCCTGATACAATCTGGGCCCTGAGGACCAACCACAGCGAGGCAGTCATCCCCGCCTGCAGGTGATGGGCGCGCAGCTCGGGGAGAACGTAAGAAGCACCTTTTCCAGCGGACTTCAAGAGTAAAACAAACCCGGGAACTGAGCGAGCGGGAAGAAGAGTTGATCCACCCCACGCCCCTGCTTCCCTCCACACCCGCGCACACTTTTTGTTGCACCCTCGGGCCTCAATAGTTTCAGATTCAAACGCTCCAACTACAAATTATCTTTAGTTCCCCTCCCTGAAGGGGTATCAAATTGGGCGGGAGCTCCCAAGAACTCTGACTCGGTGCTTTCGCGAAGGGGTAGGAAGCGGGGGGAGGGCGGGGGGAGCCGGTGCCGGCTTTCCCCACTGAAGGCGCACAACGCTGTTTCCTGTCCTCTCCCTCTAACACGCTCTCCTGGGTCGATATTCCCAAAACTATCCTCTCCAGGGTACTCCGGCGGCCAGTCACCTCGGGGCTGCCCTCCGGCCTCCCCCTAGGGACTTCCTCCTAGCGGCTCCGCTAGGCCCCAGAACCCGGCGGCCCGCAAGGATTAGCCTGCAGGCCCCGCCAGACAGGCGGGCGGCAAGGTACCGTTCGGGCCCAT